AAACTAAACTCTAATCATAAATGAACTAAACTACAATATTAAAATATCATATTTTACTTCTATTTATAAAATTACGACTTTAACTTTTTCACATATTATAGTCAATTTATTAGTTTAGATATGTTGTTGTATGTAAGCAATTGTCATTTTAAAGTCATAACTTTTGTATAATTTATGATTTTATGCAAAATAGTTAAATTATTATTTTCAATATAATGTTAAACGGTTAAGTTAAATCAAAATTTCAGTTAAACTTGAAAAAAACCGAGAGACTGTTTTATAAATAGTTAAAAGTTATAAATTATAGTGTTAAACCTAAATTGTAATTCTAAATTAACAAAAACAACCATGAAAGTATTTTTATAATCATTAAGAATTTTCAAATAAGTAGCTTAAAAATAACTTACAATAAAAATAGTTAAAAGTAATATTATATAAAAAATTATAATGTTATCTGTAAAAACAAAAACAATGTTTGTTGTTTTAAATAATTACAATAAAAAAACTAACAATATTCATCAAATAAATTAAAAAAAAGTTAATTTTCTGAAACCAAGTTAAAATAAGTAAAAGTTTCCAAATACGTTATTTTAAATAACTTATAACAACAATAGTTAAAAGTAACGTTATACATAAAAGTTATATTGTTACTTTTAGAACAAAAACAAAGTTTGATGTTTTAAATAATTACAATGATAGAAATTAAAATCTTAAGCAAATAGATTTTTTAAAATTAATTAATCATAACAACAACTATAAATATCATTAAACAATATATTATATTTATTTTTATTCATGAGTAATCCGCAAGTAGATGTCACTTAGACAATTAGGATTATAGAATTTTAAAAGACACGTACATAAGCATATAATTCAAAACAAATAATGTTTATACCAACTTATTATAAGATTTATTATATAAGAGCTAACAACAACGTCATTGATATATTTAAAAAACATATATTTGTAAAGATTTCAAATATATTGTTGTATTATGCGCAACGCGCGGATATTTTCCTAGTGTGTGTGTGTGTGTGTGCGTGTATATATATATATATATATATATATATATATATATATATATATATATATATAAGAAATTATATATAATATATTATGATAAAGATACGGCATCTATACGTATATGGATAAATACATATAAGGATAAACATGCATATATAATGCAGATATATGTGGGGCATGTCATCAGGGAATATTATACGTGATTTTTAAAATTTGTTCAAACATCCTGTATGTGCATATCACTTAGGATATGTTAAATTGAGTATTTTTCAGACACTTTGGGTGAGTGATTCCCATCCTTGACATCACTCCTCACATTTGACATTCTTTGTCACATAAACTATTATGCTATGGGATAGACATTGCAAAACCATTCCAATATTGTTCTTAGTAATTATTTGTTCATCTTCATGGGGTTTTTATTGATCTTGGCGATCATTATTGATCTTCATGATCGTTTATTCATCTTAATGATCGTTTGTTGAACTTAGTGTTTCTAAACGACCTATCAAAAAAGTACGTTGTTTGAAGTGTAGTAATTTTGGATTAGGAATTTAGCAGCATAAGCATTCTGGTTTTGTTTTGAATTGATTATCACAAATTCTTTTTACCCCACATTCCTTATAAACGTAAAATGTTTCCAAAATATTTTTGGGAATTTGGCTTTTAGATTGGATTATTGCTATTATCCAATTTCATATAAAAGTCCGACTCCAAGTTTATTCATTAGGTTTACCAACCCTAACATTACTATTTTAACATATGCTCAAAGTAGAAGATTGACATTTTGGATAATGAAGCTAACATGGATTTTTAGAAGGCCACTTGTAATGATTATTCATTGGCTTGTATTTTGGTATAATTATACATCCTCGTATATTCAAATATTCAAATTTGAATTGTCTAACTTGGAATTTTGGGACCTAATTTGGCAACTATTTAAATGATTACTTGTTTGAAAGATAACCTAAATATTTGTAGCCCATACGAGAGTGTTTTATTTTTCTCTCAATAAACTTAGTGAATTCTTCACCTTAGAACAATCGTATTGAGAAAATCATTGGATGACCAACTTCACAAGGAAAATATGTAAGTTAATTACTCTAGATATTTATAATGAAGAAGAAATTAGAAAGAATACAACCTGGGCTGGCCTGAAGGGCGGGCGAGCTGGGCCATAGCCCAAGGCATCAATGAGTTTGGGGGCATCAGATTTTCAATTGCTCTTATCCAGTATGTACATTTGCGAGAACGATAATTGAGCGGTTTTTCAGGAGTCATCTTGGTAATCTAACAATCGCATGCCTAAATCGAAATCGAGGAGTCGGACATAAGACGGGGAAATTTGCATATAAACGCTTTCTAATTTTGATTAATAATATTGCTGTATCTTTCTTTGTTTCTCCCTTAATACCTAAATCAGACACTTGATTTTTAATTTCAACTGGTATCAAGCTTGTGTAGTTCCTATTTCTGATATAGCTATGAGTTATCCTTCTAATTCTAATTTTTGTTTTCGACCTAATATGCTATCAGTGAAACTTCTGGATTTCCAATTTTGAGTTCTGAGTTCTCTTTCTTGGGTTTTGATTTTTATAATATGATTTTCTAGCTAATAGTTTACTTGATTTCTGATTTTGAATCCTAAATTCTGTTTATCATAAACTCATTTATGTTTTGTTTCCTTCACTTTTCTTATACTAATAGTGTTTATAATATATGTTTTCAATCGTTTTAGTGATTTACTCAATACTTTATCAAATACTTTATTTTGGGAAAGATATATTTTTAATGATTTTAGCATTTCCTTCCTCAAACGTATTTCATAGCTCCTCTCGTTAGCATATTGTTTGTAGGATTTAAGTTTTGTTCTTCATTAGTCATTAGTCAAAACGGAAAACATTCTAGCACTCTGATTTCTGAGTAGTTTATGACTTCTTTAATTTTCTGGTTTTAGGATTTAAATTTTACATTTCTGTGATATGATTGTCTTAGTACTTTGTTCTTCTAACTTTTTTGGTAGGTAACATGTGTTGTTATTTTGGTTTTTTGTTTTACATGACAAACTATTGCATATAAAACGAAGCTTAACTACATATCTTGGATCATGCTCTTTACGTTTATGTTAAAGTTAGCCCCACATGTAAAAGTACTTTTGAAACAGGGGCAATGATTTTTATTGCCGATTGGATAGATTATAAGGAGTTCATTGCATTTTTTTGGGGGCTGATGAAACTTGGTTGTTGTTGATGTTATCATTTTTAATTTGAAAACATGGGTTTTATCATGAAATGATAAGACTTTGATATGTTTTGATGTTTTTGGAAGTTTGTTGCTATTTTAAGGTGGATTTACGAAGTTCATTGCTATTTTTGGTGTGTCTTATTCCACAAAGTTGCAATTTTTCATGAGATTCTTAATACATGTTGACGTTTTTGATGATGTTGCTGGTTCCATTTTTAGTGATTAGGAGTTGCTCTAAATTGTCATATCTTCTATAATTGACCTAATTCTATCTATTGCATTTTGGGTATGGCTTTGCTTTGTTGTTGCTTTTCATTTTTTTCATTTGTTTCTTTGATGTAACTTTGTAGCTTTCAAGTGTTTGTCTATTGTTGGTGTAATGTTTGTTTCTTGTATTCTTTGTTCTTTAGCTAGTCTCCGACCTCTTTTTTTCACGAATTTTATTTCTAAGGTTCTAAAAAAACTTAGTACTTTTGTCTTAAATAAAAAGCCTTGCTTATAAGTTTTCCATATAGAAACTTTTGTTGATAAGATTTTTAAGAAATTATATTCCATGGGGGCATATTTACATCTTTTCGCCCGGAGCATCGAAAATCTATGGACCGGCCCTAAATACAACTTGCATTATCATATAACATCTTATATCTATCTCATTCGTGTCCGCACATACCCTCTAAGCAGGCCCGACCCAATACATGGGCGACTTGGGCTCAGGCCCAAGGCAGCAAACCATCGAGGGCATCAAAATAATCCATGTATATGTATAGTATATATAATGATGGTCCAAAAAATCATCGAGGGCATCAAAAACTTGGCCTATATTGTTGATCTGTTATCGTAAATAGAAAGAAAGTTGGGGGAGACGCGCCAATTCCAAACAATCATCGATCTACTCATAGAGAAACCAAACGTCGCTCGTGCCTAGAATTATGTTCGTGTTGTTGTCGATGGGAGAAATCAATGCCTACATAGAATACGTTCCCTATAAAGAAAAAGTAAGAACGAATTTCTCTTTTGTTTCCTTCCAATTCGATAATCGATATTACATAGCTCTCAAATCTCAATTTGATCATTATCAGTCGAAACTTAGTCCGATATAACATCGATTTCTCTAATTTGGTCCGGTTTTCTCTACTCTGATACAGAAAATAGCGATTTTGAATTTTTGATTTAGTGATTCACTGATTTAGTTGTTATTCGTTTCTTGTTGATTGTTTCGGACTCTGATTTAGGTGAGTTCATTCGAAATTTGTGTTTATTTAGGTTTATTTTAGAAATCTGCTTGATTTCTTATTCATTGATGATCTGATTTCTTCTCTATTTCATTACATGGAAAAATAGTCAAAGTTCCAAAGAGTTCATTCGAAGTTTGCTATTTCAGAAATCATATTTTTGTTACAGCCTTTCATAAATCAAATAAGATTTTTCCCTTGTTTGTGTTTGTGCTCGATATAGCTGTTTCAAAAATCATCAAATCATATGTGGGTAAGTTTTAACTCGAAATTTGTGTTTACTTAGGTTTGTTTCAGAAATCTGATTTCTTTCAGCAATCAAATTTGTTTATACTGTTTTAGAAATAAGATTTTAAGATTTTGGTTAGTTTAATTTTGAAGTCTGTTTGTGTTCATTGTTCAATATTTGCTGTCTAAACATTATTTCTAAATTTTTGTGTTTGTGCTCGATAAACATTCTTTGTGAATCTGATTGTAGAGGGCTTGTTTCAAGAGCATCCCATGAGTAAAAGAAAGCTGAAGGAGCTGTTTGGGCACACCCCATCATATGTGGTATTGTGGTTGCAGGGTAGTGTTTGGGATTCTGGTGGCTTATATTTGTTGTCAATGTTCTTTTGGCGTGGTTTGAATTCTATACAAGATTGTTTTGTTTTAAAAACAACTTTGTTTGATTTTTGGTGGATTCATTAATTGTGTATAAAATAAGACATAAGTTGTTATAATATAATCCCAAAAAAAAGTTGCAAAATGAATTTTCTTTTTGTTTTTTAGAACACTAACTCATCTTTTTTTTATTTATAAATCCCGTCCTCTTTGTATCAAGTTTGATATTGATATCAATTTTATAGACTATGTTGTTAAGTGATTGAAGAATACTATTTGGTTAATAATAGTAACAAAAAATTAAATATAATTTTCAAGTTTGTAAAATAAAAGATGTTTTTGTTTCAAATATACATGAAAACATCTTTTTAGATGGTTTTTGTAGGTTATTTTTGTATAATATGTTTGATTATAAAATTTATTGCATTTTTGTTTATATATATATTTTTTTATTTTTATGTTTTGTCCATCTTACAATACATACATAAGGGCATAAAAATCATATCTCGCCCCGGGTATCAAAAATCAATAGACCAGCCTTGCCTCCAAGGCTCCAACCCACCATTGTTCATGTTAAGAAATGAATCAAGTTTCTCAAGGAACTCAAGTGTAATGATCGGAGATGAGGTATGCAACGTTTCGTTATACCCCAATGTCGCCATACAATCCTTCACAAACACATACATAAAAAGATTAAAATACCATTGCCTACGAGACATGTGTGGTATATTATCAGAAAAACCAAAAGACTAATAGAGATATGGACGAAATGTACAAATTAAACCAAATGAGGATGGTCTCAATAAAAAAAACAAAAGATCTAGATAAAACATACAAATAGTCTAAAATTAACTAAAATTTTCTAAGTTAGAATAGTTTGACATAAAATATTGGGTAGGAATTTGTACACAATACTTTTTAGTAATATACAATAATTTATATATATATATTGTATAACACATAAATTGTTGTATATAGTTAAAAAGTATACATATCATCGTCCTAAAATATTTATACTTATTTATAATTATAAAATATAGTAAAAGATATAGAGATAGAGATCGACACATAAAGGTTTGTTATTTTTTTAATCATATTATATAAAACATTTAAAGTAAGGTTAATCGTTTCTATCAAAACCCTCCATATCCTTTTTTGAACGGAGTATTATTTACAAGATCTGATTTAATTGGGAAAGGTTACTCCGATCGACATTCAACACTCCTACGTGACCTACTGTTGCCTGCCTACCTCTCTCCCTCTCCCTCTGCCGCTGCCGCTGCCGCTGCCAGTTCCGGACTGACTTCCTGACTGACTCAGGAACTCAGCTACTCCGGCATCCGCCGCTGTTTGCTGCTTCTTCCTACATCCGACTGTTGACTGTCTTCTCCTTTTCGTCCATTGAAATATTCGAGTAAGTCGGTTTAATACTAGTTTCAATCCATTAATTGTTAAATTGTCGTAGTACTAAAATCAAGACTTTCCAGTAGCTTTTTATGTGATGGAAACTTGAAATCCATCTAACGGCCTACTAACCCTATGTATCTTGCCAAGGGTAGAGTATATGAATGGACCTAGGGCATGCCAGAACTTCATAAAAAATCGATTTAAGTTTCTGCATTTGCCAAACACACTAACAATGTTTCTAGCGTTTCCAACCGTTCTTTGGGAAGAAGCTTAGTTTGGTTTTCGCTTGAGGGGGATTAGTTGAATGGTAGCGAAGGGGTTAATCGTGGAGGGAGAGAAGTATAAACTAGAAGGGTACATCAAATGAGGGTTATGCCCTTGCTGTAAATACAATGGAAGAACCTTGTGCCATGAGACTGACTAGCATATTCATTAGAAGCCAATGTGAGCATTGATTGATGATTTTATATTGCAAAATAGAGTTCATACTAAGATAGATTCTGGTGGTTTGTGTGTTTAGTTGCCATCATAAGGTGTGCGTCATGCCATGGTCTTCTATTGAAACGATAGAGTTCAGATAGTGTCCTAATTTAGATGATCATACACTATGATTCTTCATCATCAGCAATTCAGCATCTTCAAGGGAGAGTCTAAAGTTCAATATGTTACAGATAGGCAATATATTACCCCTTTTCCTATTAAACTGCCATGTTTGTCTTTCCATGCTGATTTTATAAACTGATTGACCATTAACCAACTATGCAATAGACCCCTGCAATAACAAGTTAACAAAAGATAATTATATGGACGATTACTCACAACTAGTTTGTAGTGATGACAACGAAGACAAATCTGTAGTTCAACAGATTCTTTTTCCTATAGAATAATTGTAATTCTGTTTGGAATGAGGGAGCAACATTATAGGAAACTAGAATGTGCGTGAATTCTAAAGGGCAAGAAACATTATCCATGTGGCTTCTGACTTTCTATTTGTTTGATATATGTATTTCCACAGGTAATATAAGATCGTTACAGACTTGTGTAAAGATGGCAAATTCATCCATACCTGGTATCCTGGAGAAGGTAAGAAGCTATGGACTTCTATTCTTGTTTTGTGGAGATTTTTTCTTTGTGTTATATTTATACCATATTTAGCACATATTGAGGTGTTCATGTTTGAATTTGCAGATGACTGGGAAGGACAAAGACTATAGATATATGGCAACTTCAGACCTATTAAATGAGTTAAACAAAGAGGGGTTAAACTTGATAGTGACCTTGAGTTGAGATTGTCCAATATTGTTCTACAACAGCTTGATGATGCAGCTGGTGATGTGTCTGGATTGGCTGTTAAATGTCTTGCTCCTCTGGTGAAGAAAATTCATGAGGCACAGGTACTGGAGATGACTCACAAGCTATGTGATAAACTACTGAATGGGAAAGATCAGCATCGTGACATTGCAAGCATAGCTCTCAAGACAATTTTTTTCTGAAGTCCCTACATCATCTGTTGCTCAATCAGTTCTTGTTTCAGTTTCTCCCAAGTTGATAGGAGGAATTACAAGCCCTGTGAGTTACTAAAACATTACCAATTCACACTTCACAGTTCACAGTAATTGGGCAATATAGTTAGTAAGATGTTCATATGCTTTTTTTGTTTCTATCCAGGCAATGAAGACAGACATAAAGTGTGAATGCCTTGATATCTTATGTGACATTCTTCATAAATTTGGAAATCTGATGACATCAGATCATGAAATGCTGTTAGCTGCGCTATTGCCTCAGCTAAGCTCCAATCAAGCTAGTGTTAGAAAGAAAACCGTGTCTTGTATTGGTATGTAAAATCCCTTTTAATATAAAAGTATTTTAGTTTGCAGATATTAAAGTATTAAACTAATTCTCCTTTCATCACAGCTTCTCTTGCTTCAAGTCTGTCAGATGACTTGTTAGCAAAGGCCACAATTGAAGTTGTTAGGCTGTTGAAGAACAAGGGAACAAAACCTGAAATGACTCGTACAAACATTCAGATGATTGGGGCTTTAAGGTTTGTCTGTGTATACATATATGACCTTTTCTTTTAATTGTTAAAAGTCAATTGCTATTATTTGACTAACACATTACATTGTTGACTAATCATGAATTTTTTTTTATACTCTAGTCGTGCTGTGGGTTATCGATTTGGTCCACATCTTGGAGATACAGTTCCAATTCTAATTCAATATTGCAAGAATGCATCTGAAAATGATGAGGAGCTTCGTGAATATAGCTTGCAGGTATGATTGACTACTTTGTTTCTTATTTAAAACTTCTTCTAATTCAATGTGATTGACTTTTTTTTATGTTACAATGTAAATATTGTGGTGCAGGCTTTGGAAAGTTTTCTACTTAGATGCCCGAGGGATATTTTCTCTTACTGTAATGAAATTTTACATCTTACTTTGGAGTATCTTAGTTATGATCCGAATTTCACGGATAACATGGAAGAGGACACTGATGATGAAGTTCATGATGATGATGAGGATGAGTATGTTCTCTAGTGGTTATTATTATTTTTTTTTTCTTTTCGATATGGTATTATTATGACAAATTAAAATCTAATTTATTAATGCTTGTTTTGTTGATGGCAGTGATAGTGCCAATGAATATACAGATGATGAGGATGTCAGTTGGAAAGTTCGAAGAGCTGCTGCAAAGTGTCTTGCTGCATTAATTGTTTCTCGTCCTGAGATGCTCTCAAATTTATATGATGAGGTAATTCTTTTTCTACCAATTACTGCAAAAATATTAACAACTAAACTAATATATGTTTTTGAATAAATTTGTTTTGATCTAATGTCATTATCTTTATTATTCTTCCCATTATTTAAGAAAAAAACATGGGTCTTGTGTCAATATATGGTCAATGTTTTATCTTGAAGTTGTCTCTTATGGAGTAGAGACCAAAAGATGGATCTTGTGGCAACATATTGTTAGAATGTGTTTATATTTATAATAAGTAGAGGGTACCTAAATGTAATGTTCTATTATATATGAAGTGATCTGATGTAATATCAATTAAAATTGAATAAGATACGAGGTTTAACTCATATGGTTTTAGTAAATCATGAATGTTGTTAATAGTAATTCAATCATTTTAATAACTAATGTCAAATGGATAAGTATTTGTTGTTCAACAATCGAACAACATTTATGAAAGTGTATGCTTTTTGTTGGGGTGAATGCAAGAAATAGATATGGACTTCCATTTCCTTCTACTGCAACATTGTATCTTTTTTTTGTCTGAGGCTTTTTAGTTTGTACTTTGAAAGATCTACCCAGTTATAGCATTGTGCTTCCAATTTGTTTCTTGCCAGGACATTTGACTTTGAAAAATCTATCCAATTACAGCAGTGAAAATTGCTTTGTATTTCAGTGACATTGTTATAGTTGATTAGATTTTTTTAAGTACAATTGTATAGTAGGAAGAAATGAAGGTAGGTTGCTATAATTTCCAAAGGCAAACATGGGCAAATAGATAGGGTTTACTTTAACCTGAAAGTGTCCAAGAAAAATAAGCATCAAGCTATAGACATTGAAATAAGGGTATAAAAGGAAATTATGAGAATGTATCCATATGCAAATGACTTATGTTGTGAGTGCATGTCATGCAGGCTTGTCCGAAGTTGATTGACAGGTTTAAAGAGAGGGAGGAAAATGTCAAGGTACAGAGTAAACATACTTTCCTTATTTATCATGTAATGATTGGACTACTGACAGTTTATTCTGAAATGCTGCAGATGGATGTTTTTAATACTTTTATCGAGTTGCTGCGTCAAACAGGAAATGTTACAAAGGGGCAGATTGATGTTGACAAGTTAAGGTAAGCCTGCAAATTAGTAAACTTTCCATGATACGTTCTGCTAATTGAAAAGCCTACTGATTGCTATGTTTGAAAAATATGAGCTCAAAAATTAGTAACCTTTCTGAATAAAATGGATAAATGTTTCAGGCTTAGTGTGAGAATATTTTTTTTTGACAACTTCATGTAGTTGATCAGTGTTGTGCTTCAGATATTAAGATCTTTTGCATATAATGTGGAGACCCTAATGTAGTGTTTTGGTATCATAGAATCAGGGAAGGAATGGAATGAAAAAAGCTCTTTTTTTTGTCTGATGGAGTGGAATGGACCATTCCTGAAGGAATCTAATTCCTTTTATTTTTGTTGATTTTCATTTCTTAGGTAGGGGGTGTTTATGTCATTCTATCATAGAATGAAATGAAAAATTACAGTTGAACCCATTTTTATTGATGTAACTTTTAATGACCCTAATAATTTCACAGTTTTAATTAATTTACAATTTTTATTTCTAAAATTTACTTATTCAATAATCTTATTTGTATTTTGATGAGCTTTTAGTATGTTCATTTATCTTTATTTCTAAAATTTAGTCTTTCATTCCTACATGACAACCAAACATGATCATGGAATGTAACGACTGATTCAAGTACCTTGCTGATTCATTCCATTCCTCTGTCATTCCATTCCTCTGTCATTCCATTCCATCCAACCAAGCAGAATTAAGTTTCATGATCATATGCAATGGGGATCCAGCAGAACCAAAAGTTACCTTTTTTTTAATCTTCTATTTGTTCTTTTTTCTTATCAGTAAAATCTATCATAGTAGTAGCTAGAGTGTAGTTCTTAAATGCCCAAAGTAAACGACTCAAGCATGATGCTTATTTTTATAGCTTTGGGTGTCTTGATTAAACTGTGAATATTTTTCAAAATTTGTTATTCAAGTTAAACAGTGTTGCCATCCATTTGCATACTCATCACTTCAGGCAGAATTTAATTGTCAGCTGTTATGATTTTAGCTTGAGATCCATTTTTTTTTCTTTTCATATTTTGTAGTCCCAGATGGTCATTGAAGCAGGAAGTACCAAAGGTAGTTAAATCTGTTAACAGACAGCTGCGTGAAAAGTCTATCAAGACAAAGGTAGTCTTATTTAAACTGCTGTGTTTTTATAAATATTTTATTTTTCTAATTTTTTAATCACTGTCTTAATGATTTATTTTTAGATTGGCGCCTTTTCTGTTCTGAAAGAACTTGTTGTCGTTTTGCCTGACTGTCTTGCTGACCACATAGGATCGCTCATTCCTGGAATAGAGAAAGCACTTTGTGTAAGCGAATTTCTACAATTATATGTTTCATCTTTTTGCATTTATATATGGTTATTTAATTTTAATCCAACTTATTCTTTTCTCCAGGAAAAATCTTCAACCTCAAATCTGAAGATCGAGGCACTTATATTTACAAGATTAGTTTTAGCTTCCCATTCTCCAGCTGTTTTTCACCCATACATCAAGGTAATGCTACAAAAATTCTTTTGGTTGGTGCATATATTTCCAACAGAGCTCAAACTATGAATTTGATTTGCACTTTCTGTCATAGGATCACTTGGTAGGACTGTATTTGTTCTTTGGTAAAAGTTATTTCATTTCAACTTTTACCCTTGTGAATGAAAATGAGAATGTTGATTGTTGATTGGTTCTTCGATGAATTCAACTACAAAGTTCATGTCTCAATAGATTCTCGGATCTTTAATGAACGGATGTGCATATATTGACAATCACATAGACTATGCATTTCAGATGCTTTAGAGAATTATTTAAAGAGTAAATTACACATTTGGTCCCTATGCTATGTTGATTTTTTTTGGATTCGGTCCAAAAGGGAATCTTTTGCATTTTTTGTCCCTACATAACTATGAAAATGACAATTATGCCCTTGTCCATTTCGTCTTCTTAATTTCCTTCATCTTCCTCCACAAGAAACCTGAAACCAAACCAAAAAACATCAGAACAAGAAGACTCAAATTTCAAAAAAAAAAAAAAAAACATAAAACAGCAAAAACAAATGAAATTGGGATTTGTTTTCCAACAAAAAGTACTCAAATGGATAAAATTACAAAAAGAAGAAAGCAAGATGAATTCTGAAATGGACAGTTAAAAGACTATGTAGCTGGTATCTTAGTGCAA